ACTGATTTCCACCTTGCTGCTTCTGTGGAATACCCGTAAGGATTGCTGGGTACGAGTTTTACAGCAACAAAGGCATCCTCTGGCGCCCCTAATTCTTTGATCTCCTTAGAGTAGCCATAGGGATTCCTGGGGATCTTGCGTACCCTCTCAAAGCTACTGGGGTGGGTTTTAGGTTGATTATGTTCCCTCTGCACGAACTCTGAGTAGCCATAGGGGTTCTTTGGGATGCTAGCAACACTATCGAAACCTGATTTCTCCAAATCAAGCTTTGCTACATTTTCTGAGTATCCATAGGGATTTAAGGGAATTGATTTCACATTTTCAAAACCAGAGGGGCGACTATTAAGGGACACAGGAGAACTGTCGATATTGGTCGAGTATCCATAGGGATTCGTTGGGACAGATTCTACATCTTCAAATCCAGTGGGGGATTCCTTCACCTTTTCAACGGCAGAAGAATATCCATAAGGATTTGATGGTATCAATGGAAAGTTTTCAAATCCAGACACAACACCATTCTGCTTATGGTGCTGTTGCTCGATCAGTTCTGAGTATCCGTATGGGTTCTTGGGAATTGAATCAAAATCGGTAAAGGCTCCCGAAGGAAGTACATATTTCAGAATCTTTTCAGAATAACCATAGGGATTCGTAGGAATAGCAGCAACGGATGCGAACCCTGATGGCCTGCTATGTTGCCTGTGTGCTTCTCCCTGTACCTTAGTTGAGTATCCATATGGATTGTCTGGAATTTTCTCGGTTTCTTCGAAAGCAGATGGACCTTCAGAAATTTCAACTACATTCTCTGAGTATCCATAAGGATTTTTGGGGATAGATGTAACAGACTTAAATCCTGATGGGAGAATCCTGGCAAATGGATAATCCTGCGCAATCTCCTCTGAGTACCCATAAGGATTGATTGGAATTGACGGAACTTCTTCAAAAGCAGAAGCAGGAGCTGGTAATTCTTTAATCTCCTCTGAGTATCCATAGGGATTGTTGGAATACTCAAAACTTTCTTAAATCCGGATGGCAAGGTTTTCCCATTGTAGACATCATTCTGGGTCACTTTCGAATATCCGAATGGGTTATGTGGGATGTCCTCGACACTTTCAAACCCTGAAGCATTAATATCATAACTTTGTATTTTTTCGGAATATCCATAGGGGTTATCTGGGATGAGTTTAACTGTTTCGAATGCAGATGGGCGATCTACTGGGGACGCTGAACCCCTTCCTATTTTCGCTGAGAACCCGTGGGGGTTGATGGCAATGTAATCAACAGCATCAAAGGAACTTGGTGTCTGGTCCACCTTGTCCACTTTTTCGGAATAGCCATAGGGGTTGGACGGGATGCTGGCGAAGTTGTCGAAACCACTCACAAGACGCCGAGCCGAATGTGAATGAGGATCTATTTTTTCAGAGAACCCGTATGGATTAATTGGGATAGATTCAAACCTTTCGAAGGCGCCTTCTCTGTCACCGTACTTCAGGATATCTTCAGAGTAACCATATGGATTTGCTGGTATAGCATTGACTGGTTCAAATCCTGATACCCTCATTTTAGATGGGAAATGCTCTCGCTGCACCTCGGTACTGTAGCCGTATGGATTGGTGGGGATCTCTCCTGATTTCGTGAAACCACTTGGGAATTTCTCAATATTTTTTATATTTTCTGAATATCCATATGGATTGGAGGGAATGCTCGATACTTCTTCAAATGGAGTAGTTAAGGTGGGGGTTCTGTGCTGTTCTGATTGAATTCTGTTTGAATATCCATAAGGATTGGATGGAATAGAATCGACTTCTTCAAATCCACTTGGGGCAGATTTAAGGTCTGCCACTTTCTCAGAATAACCATATGGGTTGGTGGGGATGGATTGAATAGAAACAAATCCTGATGTTCGAGCTTTAGGAGTGTGAACATCAGAACGTATATCACCAGAATAACCATATGGATTTCTAGGAATAGCATCTACAGCTTCAAAACCAGATGGTGCATTTGTCAGCCCTTTGATTTCTGTGGAGAATCCATATGGATTGCTGGGGATGGATTTAACTTCTGAGAATCCAGTAGGAAGGCTCTTGCCATGGTTTGCGGAACTTTCAATCTTTTCAGAATAACCATATGGATTTGATGGGATTGATTTTACAGTTATGAATCCACTAGGTTGATCTTGTAGTTTCTTAGCTTCGGTTGAATATCCGTATGGATTATTAGGGATAGCCTCAACCTTTTCAAAACCACTTCCAGTACTCCTCATCTTGAAGTTGTCTCCCTGTATTTGCTCAGAATAGCCATAAGGATTCACGGGAATGGAGTCCACTTTCACGAAGCCTCCTTCAAACCACTTTAGATTCCTGATTTCTGTAGAATATCCATATGGATTATTAGGGATTGCATCTACTTTCACAAATCCATTTCCTATAGATCTAGCTCTTTGATTGTCGGCCTGAATTTGCTCCGAGTATCCATAGGGGTTCTTTGGAATAGAGCTGATAGTCTCAAAGCCACTTGGAGATTTTTTCAGCTCTTTGACCTCTGTGGAGTAACCGTATGGGTTTGTTGGGATGCTTTTGACGTTCTCAAATCCACTGCTGAGCGCTCTCTGTGTACGTATATCACCCTGCACTTTTTCTGAAAACCCATATGGATTCTGGGCAATGGCCGCAACAGATTCAAATGCTTCTGAAGCAGCTGTCCCCTTCTCTGTCTTCTTAGAATAGCCATATGGATTGTTGGGAATAAGGTCTACCTTCTCAAATCCACTCCCTGGCCCTTTGCTCCTATAGATTTCTCTCTCTACCACCTCTGAATATCCATAGGGATTCTTAGAAATCGAATCAACAGACGCAAATGCTCCTGGTCCGGCTTTCACTTTCTGTGTCTGTGCTGAATAGCCATAGGGATTGTCGGGGATAAGTTCTACCTTCTCAAAACCACTGACTGGACCCCTGCTTCTGTAAATGTCTCCATGAACTTCTTCTGAGTACCCGTAGGGATTCTTGGGGATCGAATCGACAGCTGCAAATGCTCCTGGTCCGGCTTTCACTTTCTGTGTCTGTGCTGAAATAGCCATAGGGATTGTCGGGGATAAGTTCTACCTTCTCAAAACCACTGACTGGACCCCTGCTTCTGTAAATGTCTCCATGAACTTCTTCTGAGTACCCGTAGGGATTCTTGGGGATCGAATCGACAGCTGCAAATGCTCCTGGTCCGGCTTTCACTTTCTGTGTCTGTGCTGAATAGCCATAGGGATTGTCGGGGATAAGTTCTACCTTCTCAAAACCACTGACTGGACCCCTGCTTCTGTAAATGTCTCCATGAACTTCTTCTGAGTACCCGTAGGGATTCTTGGGGATCGAATCGACAGCTGCAAATGCTCCTGGTCCGGCTTTCACTTTCTGTGTCTGTGCTGAATAGCCATAGGGATTGTCGGGGATAAGTTCTACCTTCTCAAAACCACTGACTGGACCCCTGCTTCTGTAAATGTCTCCATGAACTTCTTCTGAGTACCCGTAGGGATTCTTGGGGATCGAATCGACAGCTGCAAATGCTCCTGGTCCGGCTTTCACTTTCTGTGTCTGTGCTGAATAGCCATAGGGATTGTCGGGGATAAGTTCTACCTTCTCAAAACCACTGACTGGACCCCTGCTTCTGTAAATGTCTCCATGAACTTCTTCTGAGTACCCGTAGGGATTCTTGGGGATCGAATCGACAGCTGCAAATGCTCCTGGTCCGGCTTTCACATTCTGTATCTGTGTTGAATAGCCATAGGGATTGTCGGGGATAAGTTCAACCCTCTCAAAACCACTGCCTGGGCCCTTGCTTCTGTAAATTTCTCTATGAACCTCCTCCGAATATCCATAGGGATTCTTGGGGATCGAGTCGAAAGAGGCAAATGCTCCTGGTTCGACTTTCACTTTCTGTATCTGTGATGAATAGCCATAGGGATTGTCGGGAATGAGTTCTACCTTCTCAAAACCATTGCCTGGTCCCTTGCTTCTGTAGATTTCTCTCTGAATCTTCTCTGAGTATCCATAAGGGTTTTTGGGGATCGAGTCAAAAGTTTCAAAGGCTCCTGGGGCACTCCCCGACTCTTTAATGTCTTCAGAGTAACCATAAGGGTTTGCAGGGATGGCCCTGACCTCAACAAAGCCACTCTCAAGGCTACTGGCTCTGTACGTTTCTTTCTCTACCTTGTCAGAATATCCATAGGGGTTGGTAGGTATGGAAGCTACAGCCTCAAAGGCGTTGGGAACATCATTCTGTTCAGCGGTTTGTGTAGAATATCCATATGGATTGGTAGGGATTACTTCAACCTTTTCAAAGCCAATCCTAGGTGTGCGAAGTCCGTGGTTGTCTCTCTGGATCCTGGTGGAGTAACCATAGGGATTGGACGGGATGGCATCGGATATCTCAAAGCCCGAGGGGATATCAGAATACTTGAACACCTCTTTGGAGAAGCCATAAGGATTGTCTTTGATGGCGTCGACGGGGAAGAATCCTGAAGTAAGGTTGCGGAATCTGATGTGGTTGACGAGCTTGGCGAAGCCACTCGGACTCTCACCGATGACGACTCCGGGCGGTGGGAAGGCGTCGAAGTTTGGCCTGGAAGCAGAAGAAGAGTCAGTGCTTGGATACAATTCTCCATGAGAATAAAAAAGAATGAAAACTTTTGATAAAAGCATGAATATATGTTTGGCTTAACATACATACATTTACACACACATATATATATATATATATATATATATATATATATATATATATATATATATATATATACATATATATATGCACATATGCATGTATATACATATAATTGTATATATATATTTAAATATTTATATATATATATGTATATATATGTATATATATACACATACATATATGGATATATATATGTTATTATATATATATATGTATATTACATATACATATACATATATATATATATATATAATATATATATATATATATATATTATATATATATGTTAT